CCGTCTCCTGCTGCCCTGGGACAGGAGAAGCAGCATGTGGCTTTGTGCTTGGCTTTGCAGGCAGTCCCTGTCTCACATTTATGCTGTTTGCAGCACTGTAGGGGCTGAGGAGAATGAGAAGAGGCTCATGGTCTCTGTGTGGAATCATAATAAAAGCTTGAGGTAATTAATATTGCGTTGTAGCCATACATTGTATATACAAGGTAAAGAAAATATTTTATGTACATTGATTTTGAATGCATAATAAAGAAGGTGTTTTCACTCTTTCACTCGCATCATATTGAAAAATATGGCATGTAGATTTACTGTAACTCTCTATATGCCCAAATAAAAGACATTCTGTTCAAGTAGGTGAATGTTTAGAAGCTACTGCCAAAAAAAAAACTATTACGGAATGTTTTTTTGCTGCTGTGTATTTCTGTATGTTTTTTTTTCTCGCTTTAGGAAAAATGAGATCCTGGGCTGTATGAGTTTTGGTATCCGCTCCCTTACCACACTGGCCAAGGTGAGCATTTCTTAGCTGACAGCCAGAGCTGAGGTGCGCCCATTTAGTCCCCATGATGTGGTAAATACAAACCTGCTAGCGATATGCTGTAAAATACTCTCTGCTGATGCTGGGAGATGGCAGCACCCTGCCGCGCTTCCAGTCTCAGCAGCGATCCCGAGCATAAACACGTCTCATATGGCGTTTCATCAGATAAACTTCTACTTTTTGTACATGTATTTAGTTAGTTACAATAATTATTTTTCAAGTTGAGGAGCATCTGTACCCATCATGTGTAGTATGACTAAAGCCCATTTGACTTGACATAATGCACAGATGATTGCAAGCACAAGCACACAGACATTTGAGTGTGGATAGCTAATGACAGTCCATTCCAGCTGATTTTCTTTGCTTCTGTGTCATAGGAAATCAGTGGCTGGTACTTCCTACTAAATGAAGACCTCGGTAAGACCAAGCATCTGAAAGTGGCCTCACGACGTCTCAAACCCAAACATGGTGAGTGCTGAAGAATGCTCAGAATGAGTGTTTATGATGTTGCTGGTGGAAATGGATTAAGATGTTACTTACCCTGTGATGCTGACCAGGGTCTGTGGCTATAAGATAGATGGGTGGCTGGATGGATGATGTTGTTGCAGCATAGCTTGAGTTAGGGTTCTGGCCAAAGTATAGATTTCATCTGAAGAACAGCCTACAGTTACTACAAATTTTCTGTTTGTAGAGCAGTGTTGAAACTTGACCAATTCATAAAAACGATTTGCTGTAACGATTTGCGATTTTTGAGCATTGTTTCGAATTTGAGTTTTAGGTTGGCAATTTACGGCCGTGACAGTAGATCAAATCAGATCTTTTGAGTTTAACTCTTAGAAGAGTTTCCCTATGGGATCAACAAAGTTCACATTATCTAACAGAAAGGAAAATGTATCAGATATTGTGTGTGTGTTGAATCCGTTGAACTGACTGACACCCAGCAGAAGGCCTGTTTCATCTGTACCTCTCCCTTTTTTAAGAATATCAGTATGGCACTGTTTTACTGAAGTTAAGTCTACTCATAGGTTTCAAACATGCCAACACAATAACTTTAGGCAAATTTATAGCTTACCGTGGTGGAGGGGTTTGCGTGTACTGATGATCCCAGGAGCCAAGTTGCCCGGGGCTTTATGCCCCTGGTAGGGTCACCCAAGGCAAACCGGTCCGGGGTGAGGAACCAGATGAAGTGCGGCTCATAAGACCCCTAATGATGTATAAAACGATGGAATCACGGTTTCCCTTGCTCGGACGTGGGTCAGGCCTGGGGGTGGGGCTCGATCGTGAGCGCCAGGTGGCCAGGCCTATACTCATGGGGCCTGGTCGGGCACAGCCCGAACAAGGCATGTGGGTCCCCCCTCCAATGGGCTCACCACCCATAGCTGGGCGATGTGAGCTGGGCAGTGGCCGAAGGCGGGGACCTTGGTGGTCCGATCCTCGGCTGCAGAAGCTAGCTCTTGGGACATGGAATGTCACCTCTCTGATGGGGAAGGAGCCTGAGCTGGTGTGCGAGGTTGTGAAGTTCCAGCTAGACATAGTCGGGCTCACCTTGACGCATGGCTTGAGCTCTGGAACCAGTCTCCTCGAAGGGGGTTGCAGGACTAATTTAACTAGGTTTAACTACGGAGTTGCTCACGGGGAGAGGCGCCAAGTGGGGGTGGGAATACTTATTGCCCCCTGGCTGGGCGCCTGTACATTGGGGTTTACCGCAGTGGACGAGAGGGTAGCCTACCTTCGCCTTTGGGTGGGGGGACAGGTCCTGACTGTTGTTTGTGCTTATGCACCAAACTGCAGTTCAGAATACCCACCCTCTTTAGAGTCCCTGGAAGGGGTGCTGGAGAGCACTCCTCCTGGGGACTCTCTTGTTCTACTGGGGGACTTCAATGCCCACGTGGGCAATGACAGTGAGACCTGGAATGGCGTGATTGGGAGGAACGCCCCCCCCCCCCGATCTGAACCCGAGCGGTGTTTTGTTGTTGGACTTCTGTGCTCGTCATGGATTGTCCATAATGAACACCATGTTCAGGCATAANTCTGAACCCGAGCGGTGTTTTGTTGTTGGACTTCTGTGCTCGTCATGGATTGTCCATAATGAACACCATGTTCAGGCATAAGGATATGTGCACTTGGCACCAGGACACCCTAGGCCGCAGTTTGATGATCGACATCGGGGATTGGGTCCTCCCCCAAGTGGAGAAGTTTAAGTATCTCGGGGTCTTGTTCACGAGTGGGGGGACGATGGAGCGGGAGATCGACAGGCGGATCGGTGCGGCGTCAGCAGTGATGCGGGCGCTGCATCGGTCTGTCGTGGTGAAGAAGGAGCTGAGCCAAAAGGCAAAGCTCTCGATTTACCAGTCGATCTACGTTCCTACCCTCACCTATGGTCACGAGCTGTGGGTAGTGACCGAAAGGACGAGATCGCGAGTGCAAGCGGCCGAAATGAGTTTCCTCTTTAGGGTCCCTGCTGAGACTGCTGCCCCCGCGACCCGACCTCGGATAAGCGGGAGAAAATGGATGGATGGATGGATGTAGCTGTAGTTGTAAAATCATGTCATGAACATTAAGTAATTAACTTGTTGCATAATTTATTTTTGGTTATTTATAATAATTTTCAGATTAAAAATAAAGTAGCACCACTTTTTGTGTGTAATTTTTAATTTGCACTGCTTTTGAAGGTGTGATATTTTCTGAATATTCCACCTTTGGATGAAGTAAGTATGGTGTAACAGTCCACAATAAATTGTGCTTTGGCAATATAATTCTAGCCAAAATGTGAAGTGTGAATTTCCAAGGAGAAATCTGTCTGGCTTGTCTGTCTGTCTTGCCTACATATTTTTACAAAAATAAAATCTGCAAAAAATATTGCCTTTATATGAATATCAATAACGTTGGGCATCACATAATACACAGTCATAGAATATGCATAAATATTAATATTTTTGTGTCTCTCACTCCTGATTTCCTGTGAGAATTCAGGATGCTTGAGAGGGGAAATCCCTATTTTTTTAAGATAAATGCTTTGCTTTTTCCTCAGTAAACATGCAAGGCAACATTCTTCATTTCACTTGATTTAACTGACTGGCTTGAGGCAGAGAAAAGCCTCATTTGCTGGAGTTGTTTGTACTTGCTTTTTAAAATGAGTCTGAATGCCCAGTAGACCTTCTTTCCATGTTGTGGGTGTTTGGTTGTGAGTGCTTTGGTGAGAAAAGGCTTTTCTTGGTCACTTAAAATTGCTTTGCTTACATGTCACTGCATACCACTTTGTTTCATGACATTTTCACGACTGAACTTGAGACCATTAATATTTCTTTTCACAACATCAGATTCATTTTACCGAAGGCTCATGAGCAATCTCCACCAGCCCAGAATGGGATTTTCTGCCAGATATACTAATTTTGGATTGTTTGTGTTCTCTGTCTGTTAAATAAAAGTTCTGCATTGCACCTGCACTTGCGTCTGAGTGGGTGTTTATGGGTCTTCTTAGGTACCCCAGTCACGATGGGGTGACCATGTATGTCGCTGATGGCTGCCACTATCTATGCAGCAGCAAAGTCAGTAGATTATGCCAAGAGGACAAACATCTAGAGAAATGTATGCTGTTTTGTCCAATTTTTTTCTGATCCCACTGATGCAGTGATATAAATGTGCCTGAAACAAATGCAAAATGCCCCCAACTTCATAATTCAATACAGAGTGAACCTCCGTATACCAAAATAACATGTCTCTGGATAGCAGCAGTTTCAGCTGATGGCAACATAAACTAACATTTCAGATATGGGATATTTAGATAATAGTGGTGAACCAAAAACTTGAACTAGACAAGCAGAGTGACGAGCGGAAATTTTTTCAGTCAGTGGAATCATTAACACCAGGGGCCTGTATCACGACTCAGTCATCTGATTTTCTTACTTAGCTGGATAACTTGTCAGATTTAAGGTACCCCAGATCAAATGGACTTCATCTTCGTCCGCTTAGCCCAGACTACCTTCATTGCGACAAGTTATCTGGCTTAGTTTGTTGTAAATGTAGGCAATTGGGGAAACATACCCTGGAAGAAGGTGTGGTCTCAAGGAAGCTACATTTTAATCAATTCATAAGATTTACCCATCTAAGCAGTTTCTAAAAGTAGAAACAATCTTGCCACCAGTTGCTCTTTATGTAAGCGCGACTGTGAACCAGGTGCACAGTTATTCTGCTCTGACGTGCTTGATATGATACAAATTGATATGTTTAGTAACTTTCAGTTTTCTTGCAAGGATGTCTGTTTTGGAATTTTTGACGGCAACAAGGAAAATGCAGCCATGGTTTTTTAGATTAATTTAATTGTCATTTTAGCTAAATTCTACATTCAAAAATGTAAATATAATAAATCTAACCTCCCCCCTTTCAGTTTACCAAATAGACCTCACAGATTATATAAATCTGATTTAAAATTCCCAATGATAATAAAGCAACCAGAACTATATAATTTTGCCTCCCTTGTAATAATCATATTAATGGAAAACTGCCCTTTTATAAAGAGTATTATTATGTTTTGTATGTGTGGTTTCTAATCATGTAAAACTTCTGGCTGTATAAGATTGTTAATTCATAAATGTTCTGTTAAGTTTATTAAGGAACCTAAAAAGATGTAGACAGTATGGCTTGCCGTAAAATGGCAGGAAGAACAGATCGGGCAGTGCCAGAAAATGTGATGCGGTGTGTCACTGCAAAATCTGAGTCAGCCGTGGATTTGAGTTGCACATGTACTTATGATCTGAGTCATCCGTCTTGAACTATTAAAGTATTAAACTATTCCAGTAATAAAGGACTTTAGACCATCTGCCAAACCTGTACTCTTACCAGTTATAGAAAGTTAAGCCCCATCTCATGTATTTGCATACATTTTTATAAAATGGCTGATTACCCTTTAATTGTCTGTATTGACACTGGCAAAGCCCCTCAGGAACTGGACATGTATGTTTTTTTGTTTTTGGCTTTGCTTTTGTTTAGTGTTCAATTTTAGTAATTCTTTAGTTTTAGTTAGATTTTGGTTACTTTTGTATTTGACTTTGCTTTTGTTTAGTGTTCAGTTTTAGTAATTCTTTAGTTTTAGTTAGATTTTGATTGCTTTTGTATTTGGCTTTGCTTTTGTTTAGTGTTCAGTTTTAGTAATTCTTTAGTTTTAGTTAGATTTTGGTTTCTTTTGTATTTGGCTTTGCTTTTGTTTAGTTTTCAGTTTTAGTAATTCTTTAGTTTTAGTTAGATTTTGGTTGCTTTTGTATTTGGCTTTGCTTTTGTTTAGTTTTCAGTTTTAGTAATTCTTTAGTTTTAGTTAGATTTTGGTTGCTTTTGTATTTGGCTTTCAACGCTGGTGCATGTGCGACTCATCCACGGCTGACTCATCCTGTAGTGAAATGGTGTATATGCGAGGTACAAATCGGACAGGTGGTACAAATCGGACAGGTGCTACTAATTGGCCAGGTGGTATGAATCGGGAAGTGACACCAACTGTTTATTTCAAGTCATTTAACTTATTTGTTATAAATGTCATACCTGCCCTGTACAATTTTTGTTTGCAAAGCTTAAAAGACAAATGATGCCATTTTTATTATATGTTCCAGTGTTCAATGCTTTTAAAAGCTCTTCCTCATAAGGTGTATGTGTATCATTATGTGAATACAATCAAAAAAGTGAAAATGCCAAAAGTCTTGTATTTTGCTTGTTTACTTAAAATAAAGGTATGGGTTGGGTAAGCATTAAGGTTGGTATAGTTGGTATTAGGCTTTTGTCCACGGAAATTAATGGAAAATCCCCACAAAGATATAGATACCTGTATGCATATGTGTGTGTATGTAAAATGAGTGTGTGTTTATTAAAATCAGTTGACTAAATATTGTGTTGGGAGATCTTATAAAATCTAATATGCAAACTTTGGCCAATTTTATATTCTCCTGTTTTCATAACAGTTGTTGATGACAGTTTTTGAGAGATCAGTGGAAGTCTGAGTGACTCCCTAAGACTGCACTCTGCAAAGTTAGCATGTCAATTTGTAATACTAATTTCAGTTTCATCGAGAGAGAGTCAATTAGAATGGACATGTATTTAGTGTCTGAGCCGGTAAATGGGAGGAGGAAGGTGTTTCTGACACGATGCTCTGTAGATTTTGAGGGAGAAGCCAGCAGTATTGTGTCCCAGTTGAATAGTGTCTTTGAGGGATGTTGAAAAGACATGGTTGCCCGGGAGAGTAGTAGTCTCTATGGTAACCTTGCAGAAGCTTGTAGATGGGTGGGAGTAATGGAGTGTGAGAAGGCTTTTCTTGACCTGTAGGCTTAGTTTCTCAGAGCCCTGTTTCTAGAACACTCTGTATGATCCTGGGAAGGCTACTGTTGCACTTTTGAGTAACAGTATAACTGATTCCGTTTTATTAGTATTTTGTGTTCATTTCTTAGTGAGGAAAACAAAACTGGCCCCTTTTGGTACAAAGGGATGTTTTCAAAAGGCAACACTTCAGCCTGTGGCACTTTTGGCTGTTTTTCAGGCAGTGCTTTGTCAAGCAGTGATGCTCCCCCCGAGACGACGAGCCAGGAGAGCATGCAGTGCACAGCGGTGAGTGACCAGCTGCATGTCCTCTCACTGCATCTGTGAGGCTTTATTGCTGAGATGACTGGCTGCTTAATGGGTGAGCTGAGTGTACCCAGTGAGCTTTGAGCTGGGGCTGGATTCGCTTTCTCGTAAATACATTTTCCTTAACTTTTCTGATTGTTTGCAAAAAATGTTTTAGGGAAAATTTTTAGTGAAGCCTGTGCAGTGCTCAACCCTTGGTTTTTGACCTCCAACTTGGAGGAATGAAATTGCATGAAAATCAGTGGCCTCCTCTAGGTATTCAAAGTCCTCCAGTCCAGTCAAAGCAGGTCACGCCTAGAGATACAACCGCATGGTCATATGGGGAAGGTGAAACTTTGCTTAAACCAACTTCTGCTCGTTGTGATATAACACTATCCCCCTTTCTGACCTTGAGGTTTCTGAGATTGAAGTTATGGTAGACAAAGATGGGAAGTAGGAAAAGCGCCAACACTGAGGTGGGAATAGGAAGTCTGGCTGCAAAGTAATCCGTCTCTGATTTATTCCACTTCACCCTAAGACAGTGTTTCCCAACCCTGTTCTTGGGGACCCTCAGACAATCCATGTTTTTGCTCCCTCCAAACTCCCTGTCAGACAGTCCACATTTTTGCTCCCTACTGGGAGCTGGGAGAGAGCAAAAATGTGGACTGTCTGGGGTCCCCGAGGAATGGATTGGGATACAGTGGTCTAAGCACTTTGTTAGTTTCATGCTTCCCACTGTTATAGCAGCCCTGGAAGCCTGTTGAACGAAGTACAGTCATTACTCGTATCCTTCCTTCCTCATTTGGAGTTATCACTGCCGGCGGGACTTTGGGTGCAACTGATATGATAAGGAGCTTGAGGTGAGGGGTGCATTTTGTTACAGCAGTCAAATGGAATAAAGGAGACGTGCGATATTCTGTTTTTACACACATACCATTTGCCAACTGGTGTTAGTGTTACCTGTGTCTGATTAACAAATGGACTTGGTCAGATATTCGGGACAATTTGAGAGAATCATCTATCACAAAATTAAAGTGATTGTAAAGGGCTTGAATGATGTTAATCCCTATCTTACGGCACCTGGTACCATTCCACATATAACTGTATTCTCAGCATCATTATTGCCCCCTCAGACAGTGCAGTCTTGGCCCTGTTAGACTCTACTGCGATGGTATGGGAGCTTCTCGGGTCCACAGAATCGACATGATGCAGAACGGATCTTGGATTTGGCTAAAGACAGCAGAGCAGTATGGGGCATGCTAGTATGATTTCTGCTGGAACAAGTGTACACTTACAGAATAGTGAATAGAAGCAGAAAATAAGGTAAAAAATACACTCTTGATTCCCGTGGAAAAATCTTTATAATGTAGATTTGCAGGACATAGGTTTCATTAAATATACCAGTCATAAGCCTTAACATGCTGTTTCCCCCACCATTTTAATCGAAAACAAAAGGTCTGGCGTGATCCCTTCATTTGGAGAAGTTTTCTTTTCATTGCTGTCAGCGGCTCACTGAGGTTTACACTTATCCCCTGGCCTGGACTGACGAGCCAAGCCTACTGGAGCTTGTCTTTGATTGCTCCCTCAGAAGGAAGCCGCTTGCAGTTGTCAGACTTTGTGGAATAAGGGGTGCCGTTCACTTGTCCGTATAATAGACAGTGGTCCGTTTCCAAAGAAAAGCAAGCGCAGGTTGCCCTAGAATTTGGCAGTCCGTGTCGGAAGGGTTTAATGGTCTCCTCGGCCCCTCTAAAATAGTTATTGTGTCAGTGTCTTTGGGCTTTTTTATTCTTTTTTTGCTTTCTGTGTTTCTTTTCAGTGTGTTCTTCTGACTAAATGCACTCATTATTTTTTCTGTAGGCGACTGAGAATAGAAACGCCATGCTTTTTACAACAGTTTTGCTCTGATGTTGGTATGAAGATGGAAATCCTTGGATTTGCAGTGAAGAGAACATTGCCACATGAACATCAGCTGATAGGGCTAGTGAACTGAAAAATAATATGTGAAAGGTGGGGGAAAAACATTCCTAGAAGTGAGGGGGAGGGGGGTGGAGTGATGTTATGTACTAGTGTGTTTATGGGAATTTTTGTGGTGTGGAATGTAAATCCAGTCTAGGCAATCTCTCTCCCAGTCCTGCAGTGAGCTGTCAGGAAGCCTGCTGGCTTATCAAATGCAGGCACACAGAGCGACCAGGGGTTGGGGAGGTGAAAGGTCGCTTCCTGTCATTCTTCTGCTATGCCGAGTTCCCATGAGCGGGCATGCCAAGTCCAGTAGGCTTGCAGCTGAGAGAGGCTAAGACAACCTGGCTTGTCCCGCAAATGCGAGCTCTCTGAGCATCTGGACACACCGCGTGGCCCACGCTTGCATGCTACATGCCACGCTCGTACATGCCTAGGACTGGGACCCTGCATACCATCCATGGGCTGTGCAGGGTCTGCATCGAGCGCATGCTGCCTCAGGTCTGTGACACGGCGCACTGGCCCCTTGCAGAGGATGTTATATGGGTAGAACATGCTGCCTGGGACCAGGCTCGGGTATTTAAGTGGGGGTCTAGGGTGCTGGTGCTCTTGGTGCTCAGCAGAATATTCACTATGGTAAATTGACTTGCAGTGGTTAACGAAGTAGTTGTGTGGGTGTTGGGTGTTGCTTAAACTGTGTATGTGCTATTTGATATTCAAATGTATTACGCTATGTGCCTGCTGCTTAAAATGTACTTTTCATTGTTATACGTTTTTCTGTCATTCAGATTAAGGTTAATGTCTGCACCTGTGTACTATCCTCATTTCACTGTCATGCACATGTGTACTATCCTCGTTTCACTGTCGTGCACATGTGTACTCCTGTTGTTCTACCATAGATTTTTTTTATCAAAATCAAAAAAGTTAATTAGCTGATTTTTAAATGATAAGCATCTCAAACATTATCTTCAGGTGACTTCATTCCCATAAATAGTATTTTTGATGCCAGTCATTAAAAACATATCTCTTGGTCACGGTTGAGTCTGCAACATGCTTATTCCTTGACATTCATGTTCAGCAATTATTACTTGGTGTATGACACCAAAACAACTTTGACTTGTTGTTTTTTTTTTCTCTTATCTTGCATGAAACTTTTATGGTGAACATTAAGACAAGTAATAAAACATTCTCTGGTGCGAACAAAGAGTTCCTCGTGAAATTAGCTTGTTTGGAATCTGTTTCTTCTTCCCGTAGTTTTGAATGAATCACATTTTGAGTTTAATATGTGCAGTTAATACGGCAAATACTGCACAGCTTGCAGACGTATGAATTGCATTCCCTTGAACATGTAGGGATTTAAGCCTGTGGTGATCGTGCTTGTATGAAGAGTCAAGTCTTCCTGTCAAATTCATCTTTATCCAGGATCCCATAGGTCACTCTCTAATGTATTCACTCTGCTAGTGCTGTAATTTGGCATAGAAAGTGAAGTGATCTGACTGAAACTAACAGGACAGAGGGCCAGACCTCTTAACGGTGGATGAGTATTGCTGCAGTGGGTGCAGGCAGAAAATGAGTGAAAGAGGGACAGAGACAGGAAAGGAAGAGAGTGTGTGATTCCGGCTCCATCTGAGAACTTCAGTTATCTGTGTTTAATGCGGCCAAAATTAAAAACGAGAGCCAGTTCGTGCTTCTGCTTGGTGTATCAGTAAGGACCAGTATAAGTGGTGGGAAGTCAGCCTCTATTCCCAATATTCTCTGGCAGATTCACTTGAAACACAGCACAGACTGAAGCTGATCCTTAGCTCAGTGTGTCCTCTCTCTTTCTCACACACACAGCACAGACTGAAGCTGATCCTTAACTCTGTGTGCCCTCTCTCTTTCTCACACACAGCACAGACTGAAGCTGATCCTTAGCTCAGTGTGCCCTCTCTCTTTCTCACACACACAGCACAGACTGAAGCTGATCCTTAGCTCAGTGTGTCCTCTCTCTTTCTCACACATACAGCACAGACTGACGCTGATCCTTAGCTCAGTGTGTCCTCTCTCTTTCTCACACACACACGCACACAGTTCCTTTTTTTTTACCCCCAGCTGGTGATATGGAATCCTGGCTTCCGTTTCTCATGTCTTCAGAGCAGAATGGAACATGCCGGCAGTGCTGGCAGGATGAAATGTGTGTTGTCAGGCTGTTGAAGCATGTCATATTCAGCTAAATAGTGGCTGTATGACATAAACGCCCCTTTGACACTGTTTGGGCTGAAATCATGAGCAGTAATGCAAACGGATTGATGTTTTTTTTGCTCATGTGGCCTCTGCTTATGCTATATACTGCTGCCATTTTGTAAGGTTTAAGGTTGCAGGGTTGTTTTTTCAGTGTGATGCCAGGGTCTTGTGCTTTGCCCTAGAGGACGAGAAAATGTGATTCTTTGAGAACTTCCCCTTGGTGTTTACAGCCTTTGTGCACAGTTATTTCTCGTACTTGGACTCCCTTGAGGAGTTGGTTATTTGTTGGTTTAGAATCACCATTATTCTGCAAGTGTAATGAATGTCTAAGAAATTCATCCGATGCTGTGTAAGAAGGTACTGCAGTTCCTGCACAGTGGCGGTGCGTATAGTAAGGACATGAGACACAGAGACGACAGACAGCTGAGTAAGCGGAAAGTGGGGTGACACTGGCACAGCTAGAGAAACTGTGTTGGTTGGCAGTGAGATGATCCTCTGTATGGGTGACTTATAGCAAAAAATTGCTAAATAATTTGTTGCAGTAAATCAGTACAGCTTAGATTTTGTTTTATTGGTGTCATGTTGGTATATGGAAGTCTGATGGTGGTGATGGTGATGTATTTGAGGATGTGGTGAGCAGCCCTGGGGAAAGAGCCGCTTAGGTGCCAGATTCTTCTGGTTCTTAGAGACCAGTACCAGCTTCTAGAAGTTTGTTTCTGGAACAAGTGGTCACTGTGTGTGATGGGATCACTGATGATGTTTGTTGCTAATTCTGCACTTGGGTGGATGTGTAACGCAGGGTAGACTGCAGCCAGTAACCTTCTCCGCAGAGCTAATTCACCACCACGTCCAGGCAGTTCTGGAGCTATTTCCCAAATTCCACCTTAAGCTGTCAATATGACTTAGTATTCATACATTAATCTCATTCTTTCTGACTTTTAAGAGATGCAGGTTAGTGCTACAATTCTTGTAAAAGAAGAAAGTTAAGTTCATATTTAAAAAATAATTCTGTATACTGTTTCATTATGTGATGGATTACATTCCTTGCATTTCTCAAACATCTCAAACTGAGCGGTGGATTAACTTCACATCTTTATGCTTTAATCGGTAACCTGAGCTCATTGAATGCTGAGTGAAATTTCTAGGTATTGCCTTTCACTCCTGAACTCATTGTCTATTTCCTGTATAATAAAGGTTATGTAGTTCACTGTGTAAGGAATGAGTCAGTGAAACAAGACAACATTCCAAGATGCTCCATGTTGGTATCCCAAGAACCTTTGACAGCTGACATTGAAAAATAGAAAAATACAGGGACAACATGGATGTGTGTATCTGTAATTTATTTAAAAAATATTTTTTGAATGATTTCATTTTTAATATTATCAAGTTATTGTTTAAACTTATCTCAGTATCACATTTCTAAAAAAAATATGTGCTTATACTTTTATACAAAATTTCCTTCCTATGTATTGCATTATGGTATACATAGACCATGGGAGTGTACATCATCCGTACCATGCACAGGGTACCCGCGGCCATGGAAAACTTGGAAAAGTTTTGGAATTTTGAAATATTTTTTCCAGGCCCTGGATTAGTTTTGGAATTCTTGGATAGAGAGGAAAAGTTTTGGAAACTAACCTTGTTCATTTTTGTTTCCCGCTTCGGAAATGTACGAGCAGAAGTCAATAGTTAACTACCTTATATAAATACTGTTCTATCTACTTTAGTTTTACAAACTTGTGGGTTTTGGAAAATTTTCTTATGGTACTGGAAAAGTTTTGGAAAAGTCATGGAAATTTATTCTGCCAGAATTGGGGGAAACCATGCATGCAATTTTCAGTACATTATGGGGATTTTATAGTGCACCGCATAGCATTTTATAATTAATTCATTACATAGTGTACTATATCAGGAAGAGGGAGCAATTTTGAAAGCTTGGCTAACCTCCAGTGTGTGAGGTCAAAGGTCAGGTTGGCAATATCCAAGACCACATGTCCCATTGGTTTTGGTATGGGATAGGATTTGTGTTTACCTTCTTGACTGCATTTTACATGAGTTGAAAGGCAAGGCAAATTGTCATAGAATCCCACTGTTTGTTAAAGTGTCCTGGATATGCCTCTGTCTATGATACTAGAATGCCTTGTCCATCCAGGAAAGCCTTGTTTAAACTGTTTAAACTGCTTCAGATTTTGATGAACAGGTCTTTGGTGAGTGCTGGTGGGTTTCTTCCTTCATGGCTGATGCTGTGGTGTGAATTTCAGGTGACCATCCTGAGAGGGAAGGACGGCTATGGCTTCACCATTTGTTCTGACTCTCCTGTGAGAGTTCAAGCTGTGGACCCAGGCAAGAACCAGTCTTTGGAGTTTTTCTGTGTACAAATGCACACACACACACACACACATAGACATGGATCTGAAGGTGATGATACATGTTGCAACTTTTTAGGCAATGTTGCCTGCACGGCAGTGTTGCTGAGCGACGTGGCTCGGGCACTTTCCCTTTGAGAATGGGCAACACATTTCTCTTTGGACAATACTGACCTCAGTGGGCAACTTTTTGAGATCTTCCAATCAGAATGTTAGCAGCAGATCATGTGACCAACTTGGAGCTTCAGCATCCATCTTTCCAGTGTCCGTCTCTCTGGCAATAAAGTTGCTCTTCTCTGATTGGTTGTTACCAACTGTCCATTGCCTTGCTAAATTGCCCTGTCTCTCACCTGGTTGCCTGTTGCTGGCAACATTGCTCAAAAGGTTGCCCCATGTATCATCACCTTGACTTCTTCGTTTATTCTAATGATCTGTCACAGTAACTTGAAACTTAAGTTTATTTACATTCATTCTGCAGCCTGTCGAACTGCCTTTCATTGATTTCTATTGGTAATTCTCTCTTTATTCTCATGTCATGACCTTCAGGTGGTCCAGCAGATGAGGCTGGCCTTCAACAGTTTGACACCATTCTGCATCTGAATGGCCAACCTGTTGAACACTGGAAGTGTGTGGATGTTGCCCATGCAATCAGGTACGCTCTCAGAAGTTGCATGCTCCAGACACTCCAGAATAAAATGCACAGTGCCTGGAGTTTTCAGTTCATGTCTGCAAGGTCCACTGCCATCAGCTCTTAAAAAACGTTTTTTTTTTCTTGTATCAGGACTCAAATCTCATTTTCTTTGAATTTGGTGATCAGTGATCATTGTTGACACACCACAGCACACAGTGCACAACAACTAATTCAGCACCCAGGGAGCAGTGCTTGGGGGCGGGACCTTGCTGGTCAGGGATTCAAACCAGCAATCTTTCAATTACAAGTGCGAGTCCCTAACCATTAGGCCACCACTTCTTTTCCTTGCAGGAGCTGCCGGTCTGAGATCAAATTGACAGTATGGCGTACAGTCCCCATCATGAAGCCAGGGTTCGAAGGCCTGATTCACAGGCCATCTTACAAGCCATCTGGTTACACTGCAATGTCACCCCCTAGCAAAAAGCGTGAGAAGACCCCCTTAAAACTTAGTCAGCAAGGACAGAGTCATCGTATACTTGTAAATGGGCTAGAGGGCGGTAATGGAGAGCTAGGAAGTCCTTGGGGTGAGCGGCAAGAGGAAAGCAACAGGGCCCGGACACAGACAGCGACACTGAAGGGCACACATGTGACATCATCAACCGGAGACAACTACATTATCCTGAAAGCCATTAACCCTGGGAACCAGGTAATGTTTTAAACACTAAGACCAATGACTTCTTTCTCAGTTTTACAAGCAGACACCATGACTGCACTTTCAGTGCATTACTTTCCACTAGTTTGCTAATGGTTTGGCTTGAATTTATGATTCATAGTAAGAGATTTTATAATGTTGGGGAAATTAGGTTCTCTGACTAAGGACCTGGACTGAAAATTCTTTTATTTATTTATTTTTTTAATTGAGGCTGACAGAAACTGCAAGCATTTTACATCTCAGGGTATGCTTGTTTTGGTTTTTTTAAGAACTGGTTTTCCACTTAGAAAAACAGCAATAGAGAAAGATTTGTGCATTTTATGTTGAATAGGACTGTGAAAAACCCTGTGGGGGGCATTTGGCAGTTGTCTCTGTCTGAGGGATCATGTTATTCTCTGTTCTGCTTTATTGAGCATACAGCTCTGGGAGGCAGGAGGAGCTTCATAGTGATGCAGCCTCTGAGGGGAGATGTGTTGACAGGGTATCGTGTTGGGAGAGCTAGGCTGCCGCTCCACACCCGGCGTGTATCAGTGCTAGGTCCTCCACCATCACCTGTGCCAATGGAAACAGTCCATCACTGGCTCATCCCAACTGTGCCGCTTCAGATGCTCCTCCTGTGTGTAAACAAAATATCACATGTGGGTCTGAGGGTTAGTACTCTGTGATCAGAAGGTCGCTCTTTCAGATGCCATGTCTGGTAGAGTGACTTCACGGTCCGGCCCTTGACCAAGGCCCTTAACCCCAAGAGCTCCAGGATCTGTCTGACCTTCCTTTTACATTTGCGTGTTGCTTTGGACAAATACATCTGATAAAAAAATGCAATTGTAATTCTATGAATAGTGAATGATTCCAACAAAGTGCAGTCTTTCAAGCAATCTAAATGGATTCTTTCTAAATGAAACGCATCCATAACATATTGAGATAATTGGAGAGCTTACAACTTAAACAACAATAGTGGGGTATTATCTGGTTTTTGTCTTGGTATTTTATGTCTGACCTCTTCTGTAAAGGTGACAGATGCTTTGCACCGGGGACATGTTTTGGGGAATGATTATATCAGAATTTGTAAAGCTGCACTCTTGTTTCCTTCTATAATGTCAGTTGTACTGTTGACTAAATGACCAGATCAAAAGCAGATGTTCAGTAATTCATATATCACAGACATCACACATGCACTTTCCTCCCTCAGATGATGCAGCCTTATTATCAGGATGACCCTGGAGCTCTCGGTAAGTTGGTCTTCCATCTTGCCAGATCCAGACAGCCAGTTCAGGCTATATACAGTAGACACTTTTGTGATTTTTAGCCATTTGAGATGCACTGGGTCCTGTTTCACCAGGGAAGTCGTACCCAAATCGTCCAACCAGTGGGTTCCAGTCGGACATTGAGTCACAGGGCAGGCCTACTTTCCTGCGGAAATCCTCGACGAGCAAGTCCACTAAAGACCTTGCCTCTGCTGGCTACCAGCAGAACTACGCCAACTACCAGAACTGCACGATCGTCCGGTCCCACGTTCCTCAAACTAGCTACAGCACATATGTCAAGCTGGCGCCCAAAATACTCATCTTCCCTATTTTTGTACAGGTGCGGAGTTACGGGTTTTTGTTAGAGACTCTGTGCCTGCTCTGTGTTACGTTAAAATCCATTGTCCATTCTTACCTTTTTGGTTTTGGTGGAAAGAAGATTGGCCTAAAAACTGACACTCAGCATTTCTGTTTATTAAAACAGTTTACAATAGTTTGAAGTAATGAGTAAATTATGTTAAATAAATCTGTAATTTTATGCCATGCATGGGTACTGCTGGTTAATTTATTTTAAACAGTATTAGCTCATGATGATGGAATAGATCATTTGTATGTAATAACAAGGTTTTAAAAAAATCCAGTATTTGCATAGTTTACATTTTTAAGTTTTAATCTCTTAAAAGCATGCTGTGTATATTACCGTCAGACTTATTATTAGTTAATGCATCATGTAGTTTGGAACTGGCTGGCCTCATATAGTCGTTGGAGTGTCAGTCATGCCACAGAAAGGCTCTGTGTGTGTGGGGGGGTATGCATATATTACATTGTGAACAGTTTGTGTTTCTCTGCCACTTGTAGCCCCTGGACCTTTGCAGTCCAGCCCGATCGCTGGTTCTGTTAGAGGAAATGATGCTGCATGAGAGCAAACACCTGTCCACCAAGGTAATGCTGAAGGCGTGACCTCAGGCGTGACCTCAGGCTCTGAGACTGTGCTGCCACACATTTCACATTCCTACAATTCCTCCTTAAGTATAACCATATTTGACATTTACCCTATGAGTTCTATTTACTAATGCTAACCATAGTTCGTAACAGGCAAACTTGCTTTTAAACAAGAAGTCTTATATTGAGTTTTTAATATACTCATACCCAGTAAGAATTTGGTGACAAAATAACACAAACCCAGAGTGAAATAGAGATTTTTTTCTGATGATCTTGGAGCCTGAGGTCATAATGAAAGGTCTGTTTTTTTCAGAATGTGATTTGTGATACCCTTTATAGAGTGCACCGGAGCTGCACATCGGAATGAAGAAGGATGGATAGCCGGACATTCTGGGGTGTTGGGGGGGAAATCCATGACATACCACTGTGACTGTGGGATAAAACTGGGCACCCAGTCGGCACAGTGTGGGGGCAAAGGGTTGTAGCAGCGAGAGCCTCAGCAGACGGCAGGGGATGCATTTAATCATCGGTCTGGCTCGACTTGCCCTCGTTAACAGTTCAGTTTTCTTCTTGTACTTAACACTTGTTTCCCTTTGTCTATATAACACTTTTAATTAGCGTCTGCTTGCCTGGGCAGCAGTATGCGATTTCTGTTATTTTCACAGTTTTTCCGCTTATCGTAGACTCTGCTTTTATACGCTTTACCTTTGACCCCCTGCTGCGCTCCCCCTTTGAATAGCTCATGTGAAGGAGGCTCTTGAGAGGGCACAAGCGGGGAGCAACAGGCCGGGGCAATCACCCCTCTGGGGGAGGCTGGCACGGGCTGCACTCATGGCCCCGCAGAGCTGTATTTTCTCAGGGTGTTTTTGAAGATGAGGGCATGACGCCAAGCCGGGTTGCCATTGTGATAATGTTGTGTAAAGGAAGCGTGATCTGGGGGGGAGGAAGACAAGAGGGCATGTTTGCACTTAGTGATGGCAGAGGGGAGCTCAGCTTTGTTTTCCTGGCAACTTGATCTGCAGCAAGGCACCAAGTGTTTCAAAGCATGGCTTTTATGGTGAGCCTGAGCTTTAAGGTTACTACTAGCTTGCACGTGTACATAAATCCATTTAAGAGGATGTTGAGACGTTTATTATCTGATAGCTGTTTGGTTGTTATTTCACACGAATGAGACTGTGCTTGTATGTATGATTTGTTGAGCCGTGGGTGGTGCAGTGCAGTTGTCTTCAGGGAGATTTTAACAGACCTCAGTGGTTTTATGGAGTAGTGAATGTAATGCAGTACGAAGACAGAATAAACGGGAGAGATTTTAGTGATCCGCATTGATACTGTTAATGGATGCTGCTTTGTCCGGGGCTCCGTGCTCAGATGAGGTCTATGGGGAGTGGAGAGTCGCCAGCAGGGAGGATATGGGGGGGACCATGGGCTTTTCTGGTTCCTTTGTTGAACCATCCATTGACAAGAGACACTAGTGTTTCTGCCAAGTAGCTGAGCCAGAAAAACCCAGGAAGGAAGCTAGTAATGCAGTGTGTTCCCTGGCCTGAGCTTGCTATGCACACGCTGGGGCTCCTCACCCCGAGAATCCCAGCTTGTCAGCACACTAATGAGTGGGTTTTGTGACCCGTTCTGCCGGTGCAGGTTGAATATTTCACTGCAGCCTGAGGAATTGTTGAAAATCATACAGGCTTGAATGAGTGGGAGCCAGTTCCAAGCTGAGCCCATCACCCATTTAAATGAAGGCCAGGCAGTGTTGATATGCTGCTGTCTTGGCTATACATGGCTTTAGGTTAATTTGATGTTAAGTTAACTGTTTTTGAATGACCAATGGCCAGTCCTCCATGCCTGCTTCGGTCTCTGTGTGGTGTAGATGTAGCATGACCTGTCGGTATGTGGCTGAGTCTCTAAAACTGAGCAGGGTACCGTCCACATCCAATTCATGCTGTTCCCTTGGGTGCCTCCACGCCCAGGTGACCGTGTTCATCTATACTGACCTGATGCTGCTGACGCGGGAGGACGAGCCCGGCCGCTGCAACGTGCTGCAGAATCCCCTGTTCCTCCATCACCTCTGTCTGCGAGATGGTAGGTGTGCTCACAGAAACGTAGTCGGGCTTTCTGAGACCCAGGTCTGCTAATCACCCCTTCCATCCATCCGTCCATCCATCCATCCATCCATCCATCCATCCATCCATCCATCCGTCTTTGAACCACTTACTCTGGTGAGGGTAACAGGTATTCCTGTCTCTGGCAGCACAGTCCCAAGGCTGGAGTACATGAGGGTCAGGATGCCAGTCAGTCCATTGCAGGGCACATACACGCCCACACTAACACACAGGCATATATGGAGATACCAGGTAGCCTGAGTGCATGACCTGTGAGAGGAGAGCAGAGCATCTGGAGGAAACCAATGCAGCTCGGGGAGAACAAGACAACTCTACATACATACATGTTACAGTCTCATCTTACAACTCATTTATAATAATAATTATAGTGATATGTGTATTTTCAAACCATGACCGCAGTGTTTCTCTCTTCAGAAGTGAGATGTTGGGCGTCAGGGGGCTCAGTGGGGGCCGCCTCTGCTCTGTGTGTGGGGCTTGCATGTTATCTCTGTGTTGCTCCAGTTTCACCTCGCAGTCCAAAGATAAGTGTTCCTCAGTGTGTATCTCGATGCCATGCTGTTGAGCGCAGACTCTATGGAGGATGTTGGCTGTGTTGTGTGGGACTTGACGCCATGTAGGTCTGAAATGTTGTGCCAGGTTTTGTGGCATCTTCCAGGTGGGTGCAGGCTACTCTGGTGGTATATTCATTTGTTGTATTGAACGGTTAACTTGGGTGGCTGTTAATATTTTAATAAATAATAATTTCCGTGATAGTTTTCTGGGCAGGAGATGTTTCTTGATTGTGGCCCAGTGGCTTGTTAAAGTGGAGACATAAAAACTTAAGAGAATATATTTGCATATGGAATTGGCCATTAGAGGTGCACGCCTCAGAAGGTGGAAACCCTTTTAGAAAGAAATGCTGTTTATTATACGCGAGCTGTGCTTGCTGTCGTGCCGCCTTCCTCAGTGTTGTTTCGGTTCTGTGTGAGACCCTCCTGACATGCAGTTGGTTTTACCGCCGTCAGCATTAGGAGCTCAGAGCTTCGGCCGTCTCCACCCCTCATTGTTATCAAGAAAGAGGCGCCAGCCCAGTGTTTGGAGGGAGCGTGAGCGAGTGGCGGCCAGGCGCTCCGCATTGTTTGCACTGTCCGAAGCGGGACGGGGCGGGATGTGGGACAGACTGGGGCCGCGGGGAGCCAGGGGGGAAGGAGGTACGCGATGACCTTCCTGAGCTGACAGCGTGGGAGCGTGGATGTGAAAAAGAAGGCCAACACCTACACACACGCGCACACACATGATTTAGGGTGTCTGGTGATACACACATTTTGTCCATACTTTCATCATTGTGTTTTACTTTGTCTAACAGTTATTGAATATAGCTTGTTCAATGCAGTATGTTTCTTTTACATTTTCATTCATGCTTGAGCTGAGACTTTGGGCAGAAATGGGACTTGTTCATCTGCTAGGACATTTCTTCTTTCTGCATTATTATACAGTATATTACTTGTGTGATACAAGAGAGACCTCTGCTGGTTTGTCTGGAGAGGTGTATGATCCTCAATATTTTTATTATGACTATTTGGCTCTAAGTATCTCTTCAATTCATGCATGGCCTGTAATGCTTTCTGATTTGCCATACTATCCTGAAATCCAAAAACAGGACCAAAAATGATTAAATAATGTAATTTTTCTTTAAACCACGCACTTGCTATTTTTGACTTGCTATTTTTGACTTGGCAGTTGTTAAACATGCGTCATAACTTAGAATTAAATTAAAATTAGCTTAAAATGTTCTTTGCATGGCCTGAATGTTCCTCAAGAGAATTACTGCACAATTTTATGATGCTCTAAGTCTATCCAAAGTAAAATAATCCAGAGCCCTAAAGAAACCAATATGACAAACTTCTAACAAAAGTAAGTAAGTTGTTCACTGTCTCTAGCCTTTGGGTATATTTACTGACGGACTGATGAAGTGTGAGAGTGTGAGGGTGTGCTTTATGCGCGCCTGCATCTTTCCAGAATGACATGTGGGACAGTGATTTGCCTCATTGTTTTCTCTTGTTGCATGGACATGGGAGTCTGGATCACCTTCTGTTCCCTGCCATCCAACACCAACACACCCACAATATTTACTTCTCTATTTTTTCTTCCTGTCCAGATCCCACTGAGGAACTGAGGTTCTACATAATCCACACGACTGAGGTAGGCTCTTACTGCCCGAACACCTAATGGTTTAGCAGTGTTTGGGTTTTGGGTTTGTATGAATTGGGTTGGGTGCTACAGGAATGACAGGTGACCTTGTTCTTGGTTCAGGTGTGTGTTTGTGTGTGTGAGAGAGACGTATAAATTACATTGACGGGACCAAATGTCCCCGCAATGCAGTAAAAAGCTGTTCTTTTGACTGAAGAAAATAGCCCCCACTAGGGTACACTCAATTTTATGAAAATCTGTGACTGCAATCAAAAAACTAAAAATGCCAGAAGTCTTGTATTTTGTTTGGTTACTTATGGTTTAGGTTAGGATTTGAAATTGGGAAGGTGTGTGCACTGGAATGGAAATACCAATAGCGACATAACAGATTTATTATCAGCTGATCATAAATGTTTCAGCTTTTATTAACTCTTGTCATCTTGATATGTATTAGTCTTTAGATACCCTTCAGTTTGCTCATTTTTACTATCTGATACTGGCTTGACATTTTTTATGGATAGAACTATGAGAATTACTCATCCCTTTTTCATCTCTCATTTCAGCCAATTTTTGTCTCTGTAGCACATGGTTGTGCCCTTAGTCTTGGTTTTGCAGACTTGAGCCAATGTCCCATCCAACTGCATGTTGTCCTTTGATGCAGTAATTTGGATCTCCGTAGAGTATGAAAAAGAATTTGAGTTGCACAGTGGAAGGTTTATTGCACAGTGCCTCAGCGGCCAGCCCTGTTGTCTCACACCTTTGAAGGTCAAGGGTTTAACTCCTGCTGTTACTCTGTATTTGTCTTTGCAGTTTGCTATCTCTGGTCTCTTAGTTGCTCATGGTGCTGCCATTTGGTCTGTGCTGCCTATGATAGGTTCTTTAACCAGGATATGCAGGTGGAAGAGAGAGATGCTATGCTTTCTGAGGCCCTCTCACGTAAACCGTAATGCCCAGGTAATTTGATTCAGCTCCCCGTCTCCAACTGGCTGTGTTAACTGGCTCTGCTTTAGCTCAGGAGTCTGATATACTGGGCTCCACCATGCCATGGAGTTATGGGAAATTCTGTGAGCTCTCTGCTTTTTTTTTTGTAATTATATTAGTCATGTCTATATATAAAAAAGTGAAATCATTGGTTTCTGGCTGAGTTGAACATGACATCTGAAGTAGTTAAAAAAAAAAATCTCACACCTTCACTTTTATTTTCTCCTTAATGCAGTAAATCACAGATGGTGCCCAACAGGTGGTAGCAGGTCTCACAAGAGTAAATAAGCAGCCCGCAGGGGGAGGTGACGCTGCCTGCACTGTGTGGCTGTAATATTTAGAATTTCAGAATATGACGATTTTCTGCGTTGGCAGCTAATGCGCCTCGCACTGTGTTTATGTTTTTTTTCTGCTGGCGGACCCTGTCATTGAAGCTGACATATGAGGTAGATATGTAAACTGTTCAGTGCATATGTGGATGGATGGATGCTGGTAGTTCAGCACCCCGACACAGGGCTCCAGATGGCGACTAAAATGGTCGCCAATGCGACTTGATTTTCTATTTTGCGACTAGTTTTTTCATCCCAGTCGCCGGGGGCGACTCTCTCTCAATCTAAGAAAAGCTTTAAATTTAAAGCAGCATAAACGGCTTTTAATTATGTGCGAACACTCTCAGCCCACGTCTGCCTTTCCTGTTACACTATCACGTGATTAAAGCCAACCTGAAGTGAGGCATCATCTGACACGCCCACTCTGCTTCAAACGTCATCTCGCTCCTCAAATTCCGTACTAACTTTCCACGTAACACGCGAAATGTTCTAAGTTTCCATGTAACACGCAAAATGGCCAAACGAAAAATATCCGACTTTTTCTCAATGTCCACTCGTCCAAATCCTGCCTTGTCTACTTCTGAACGAACCGAAGATAATTCAGTAAGTGGGTTATCTGAGGTACAGCCACCGGCGTCTGGAAATGTACAGTTATTAAAGGATGACAACTCCGTCCCGTTAGCAAAGTCTTCTGCGCCCGCAGCTCCGACGCCTGGAAGACAGTTTAAAGCGGCTTGGTTACAGGAGTACGCTTGGTTACGGTATGACAAGGGAAAGATGTATTGCAGCTTTTGCGCACAAGCCGGACAAGAAATTGCTGGTAAAACAGAATTCATTTGTGGTACGAGCCATTTTAAAAAGGAAACTGTGAAAAAGCATGGTGAGAGTAAGAAACACAAGAATGCCAGAGACTCTGTGATCGCTAGGTCTGCTCCTCGTGACACCCCCATAGCAAAGGCAGTGCAACGTGCTTGTGAAAAAGTGACAGAAAATGAGATGAAAGAATTAAAAATAAAATTCAATGCAGCATATATGATTGCACTGGAAGAAATACCGTTCACAAAGTTTAAATCTCAAATTCTGCTGATGAAGAAGAATGGCATGGATGTGTCAAAAACATATGATAATGATACAGCATGTGCAGAGTTTGTAGGCTGCATTGCAGATGAATTAAAAAGTAATGTGCTGGAAGAAGCTTTAAAGGTAAACTACATCTCTGTTATAACTGATTGTGGAACAGATGTCTCAGGGAAAGACAATGTCATCACATACTGTAGGTATGTATCTGATGGAACACCTAAGACTCATCTAGTAGGTTTGGCTGAGATTGATTATGGTCATGCAGAAGGGATTCAAAACACCATTAAATTACTGCTTCAGAATGCTGACCCAACCAACCCAAATTGGTGGGTACATAAAATGAGTGCTTTTGGAGCAGATGGTGCAAGCGTGAACATGGGTGCAACAGGGGGAATAGGGGCACTTTTCAGAAAAGAGATAGGTGAACATGCTCTGTCTTTCCACTGTCTACCCCATCGGCTGGAACTGGCAATGCTAAACACACAAAGGTCAGTGCCAATGATTGAAAAAGTTTATGACCTTCTACAACTAGTGTGGAAAACGTATCATTTCAGTCCCAAAAGCAAGCGGGAGCTGAAGACTATCGGAGCAGAGTTAGGATGCACAGTACGAAACCCATCAGCAGTAAAAACTCAGCGCTGGTTGCCACACATTTATCGGGCACTCTCAGTTTTTCTCCATTCAAACTATGCAACAGGTCAGGGGCAGTACACTGCTGTGCATCATCATATGGAGCACCTTGCAGTCATGTCCAAAAACATAGACATAAAGGGAAGAGCCAAACACATTGTTCAGCAAATGGAAAGCTTGTCTTTCGTTGCTTTTTGTCACTTTTTACATGACCTTTTCTCAGAGGTCTCAAAGCTAAGCCTTACACTTCAAAAAAATTCTCTTATACTTCCTCAGGCAGTTGCTGCAATTATGGGCTGTGTGGTAACAATTAAAGGACTGAAGGAAAATGCTTTGAGAGAAGGGAAGCTGCAGGAATTCTTACAGCACATAGGTTCTCAGCCTGAAGGTTCAGTGCAACAGGAAGGGCCATCAACAAGCAGGAGTGAGAGGGCTGCAAGTAGCCACACAGTCATAACCTTCCAAAATGTTAAACTGAAAGGCCCCCAAAATCAGGCCACATTCAGAAGTGATCTAAAGGCCGCAATTGAAAAAACAGTTGACATTACTGTTAAAGAATTGGAGATCAGGTTTGCAAACATGATATCAAGTGTTACACAGCACGGACATTCAAAGGGATCAGAAATCATCAAGTCATTTTCGGTGTTTTGTCATGATGCATGGCCAGAGGACATTGATAGCTATGGCAAGTGTGAGATAGACACACTTGTTAAATGGTACAGGGAGCTCTTATCAAACAATGGCTGTGATGTCACAGCTGTGCAAAAGGAATGGCTAATGTTGAAAATATTAGTGAAGGGTCAGTTTATGGATAAGACTTACGGTGACCTATGGACAGTGATGCTAAGCAAGGAGCCGTTCTGTACAGATTTTAAAAATCTGCTTCACTTAGTCGAAATAATGCTGGTGCTTCCGATATCTGCAGCTCAGTGCGAGAGAGGATTTTCAGCCCAAAACAGAATAAAATCAAAAGTGCGCAACTCCCTAAGTGTAGAAACGCTGGAAGACTTGGTAAGGATCAGTACAGAGGGCCCTACACTTGAACTTTTTGACCCAGAGTCCAGTGTAAAGCGCTGGTTGTCAGCCAGCAAAAAAAAGCGCAGACCAAAGTATACTGGCTGGCCTAATGATGCTGACATTGTAATGGTTAGTGACAGTGAACTTGAAGAGTAATTAATTTCTTTATATTTGTACAATCATTGCAAAATGATTATTTCTGAAATGATTGTTTATAATGTTTGTTATTGTGTTAATTCTTGTGTTATTATGTGTAAGACATTTTCAGTGTTTGTATTTGTATAGTGTTCCTTACACATGTTGTGTATAAGACTCTGGACTTGAAGTATTGCTTATTAGTAAACACTTGCACTGTTCACATTTATGTGTAATTTATTCTTCTGTTATCTAGAAGACCTTGCAGATGACACTAGTAGGCAGGTCAAATAGCTCAGATAGGAGAAAGGAAAGGCAATGTGAGGTAGACCAAAGAAACAAATAAACAATAAAAGTAAATATTATTCGTTTATTTCACATTTTGCATGCGGTAGAGATTACGGCTCCCAAAAAAAGCATTTGGCTCCTAAATATTTTGGGTTTAGGAGCCAATGGCTCCTAATTTTTTTTTTCTGTCTGGAGCCCTGCGACACAGATGAACTCAAGGTGAGACGAGTAGGCCTATCTGGCCAGAAATAGCTGAACTGCAAATGATTAGGTGCCCTCCAAGCTGTTTATAAGACTGGGAATGAGGCTTTTTTTTGGGGGGGGGGGATTAAGCATAACTAGTATAAAAAGGCAGGAAAATACATGATGAGTGATGTTACTTCAAGTGGTGATGATGCTCTCTACCCATATTTAGTTCAGTTAATATTTCTATGGCATCCTTTCCAGTGTAGTCACCATGAATTGCTTGACAATCTTAGCTTGCTATGTGGACTGAAGGATATGCTGCTTGGCATGACCACATGCAGCTGAGAGGTCAGGGAGTCTTTATCA